TCTCCGCCCTTCTGGAATATACCCCGACACAACGGTTGTCTGCGGTTGAAGCGATGTGCCACCCCTTTTTCGATGAACTCCGCGACCCGAACACCCGGCTACCAGACTCACGCCACCACAACAACCCCTCCAAGGATCTCCCCGCCCTTTTCGATTTCTCACAACATGGTAAAAACAAATCATCCTCTCTAGTGACAATCTCCCGCTGATCAATATATAGAACTTTCGATTGCCCCTGATCTCAACACCCAAATGATTCCCCCTCACGCTCGCCCAGCCCTCGAGGCTCGCGGCCTCGGTCTCGATACCTTCAAACCCCTTTCCAAGGAGGAGATGCTTGCACACCTCGACTGAGTTGACCAGTGTGTGTCCTCCGCCTCCCCCCCCTCCTCCCTTCTTGCGAGGGATACGTCTGTTCGTTGTGCCGCCATCTGCACTTTGCGTGAGATTCTACCTGCCGACCAAGTTCCACTGTGATCTTAAGTGCTCTGAATTGAAAGTGCACTGCCTTGTCTTTTTTTCTTTTTCTTCTTCTTCTTCTTCTTCTTCTTTTTCTTCTTTTTCTTCTTTCGGGACTCGGTTTGCCTCAACCCCGGACTGGGTGGAACCTTGGGAACTGGTGAATGAGCAGGGAATGGTATGAAGTGGGAAAAGTGCATTCGTTAATGGCTGGGAAGCGGAAACCATGTTTCTTCAGGGTGGTAAGGGTTGATGGTTTTCACACAATGGGAGGTCATGGCATGGAGTTTATTTTGAGGTGTCTGAGACAGCTCTTGGGAGGAAAAAGTGATACCCTTTCTGTGCACGTCTGCCTCTGGGGGTCGGAGACTGCATAGTTTCATCGGTCGAGGGGAAGAACCCCCAGACGCAGCAAGTCGATCTCGACCCCAGATGGGGGGATGGATTTTCCCATAAATGCATCGGAGATCTTGAAGATTTCTTTGGATACACGTTTAGGGGGAACCCTCCTATGATGGTCAATCTCTCGTCTTGCAGCGCTAGAATCCCCGTTCGTCCTTCCCTTTGCGTTCTTTTCTTTTCTTTTCTTTTTTGTTCGCAATATCCTTGTATCAGATTCATCGGGCTCGGCTGGTTCCCCGGTCCTCCGACTCACCGGCCATGAGCTATATGTCATTTCAGTTCTCAAGCAGACACTTCTTCTTTCTTTGGATTTTTTTTTCGGTAGTGATGCGTAAAGAATAAATGGGATTTGAACGATGTAATATATATATACTATAAAAGGTGGATTGTATTCAATTCTCCTACATCTACTTGTATGGTCCGCTGTCGAGATACTTTCAGTACGCAGGGGCCCCGGGTCCGGAACTTCAATTTCCCCTTCCGAGCTCCTCCATCCACCTCAAGCTAGCTGTCACCCTCGCTTTCCACTTCCCCGGAATCACTGTCTCTACGATTAAAACCCTGGTATTACATCGGCTCATTGGATTAATATCAGAACAAAATGGCCGAAACCGACCGTCGGAACCAGGGCTACCGGGGTGGGCGCAAACGCCGTTACAGAGGTAAGAGACATGGACCTGACAAGCTTGCCGAACAATACGCTAACATGGCTTGCCGTTCTCTCAGATGATGATGAATTCGATCGCCGCCCTCAAAGGCGCAGATATGAGGAACCATTGTTCGTCCAGGTCCGACGGCAGTTGTTGACCATCGCGGAATCGGTGCGAGCCTTGTTTTTTTTTTTTTTCGGCGTGCGCATTGCGCTCTACAAATGGTCCATACAAACTAACGCTTGTTTCTCATTGATAGGCTGCTCGCAGAGCAGAAGACGATGTCCAGGGTATTGCAAAGACAGTCACGGATAATTACGACGACGAGGAGATCCGCCGCGATTTTATCAACATCGCCCTTGATCTGTACGTGTCGGCCTACTCAGTTCACTGTGGAAAGTTACTAAATTTGATATGTGCAGCGTTCTCGAACAGCCCATGAAAATTCCTTTTATCGCGGGCACGGTCCTGGTCGCTCATAGCTTCAAGCCCGAGCTTGGAACGGAGGTTTTGAGCAAGGCAGCTGAGGCCTTGCAGAAGTATATCGAAATTGGTGCATGGCGTGAAGTCAAGCTTCTTATTCGCTTCCTGGGTATTCTCCAGCCAGTCTATGAGGGTGACGGTATTTTCCCTCTTCTGGAAGAGCTGTTCGCTCGTGCAGTCGATCTCCAGACTGCCTCTTCGGAAGATGTAAGTTGGATTAACTGACCTGTGATATCAAAATTCGTCTAACATCCTTCTCAGCTTCTGGGCCTTGAATTGGTGAAGATTATTCAGTTCACCATTCCTTATGTTATGCTATCCCCCGCCACTGGCTTCGAGGCCCAGGCTTCCGCGCTTCTAGAAAAGACCGACATCATCGCATCTACGCCGCATGCCCTCGTTGATTTGGTGAACACATTCAGCCCCGAAGAGAACTCGGAGGCAGCTGGTCAAAGTGTTATCAGTTTGATGCAGACTCAACTTCAGGGGGAGGCCACCCAGGGCTGGGAGCTGAAGTGCCTCCCTCGTCCTTGGAAAGACGTCCGGGATCCCGAAACTGATGAGCCCAAGTCTTTTGAATCGGTGACCAAGGTTCCTTTCCCCACGATCACTGTGCCAAACCCTGTACCGAACGGCGCGCGTCCTCTCTTCCCGGAGGTCTATCTTTCGGTGTATGCCAACCAGGAAGTAGACACCGTTCCTGCAATCACAGACATCTCCTCGTCGCTTATTCGAGATGCACTGGTTGATACTATCAATCTCCTTGACTTCAACCGTGTTGCTACGGCCAAGTTCCTGATCGATATCGACTGCTATTTTACCCCTACCACGTTCGTGAAGCGTGCCACGCCTTTCGACCGAATGCGCGAGTTCATTGGAGAGTTGCAGCCGTGGAAGCCCGAGGATGTTGCAGTGGATGCAGTGTTCTCGCAGCTATTTCAATTGCCAGCATCAGAGCACAAACTCGTTTACTATCACTCTGTTCTCACCGAGTGCTGCAAGATTGCCCCGGCGGCAATTGCGCCAAGTTTGGGCCGTGCAATCCGATTCTTGTACAACAGCCTGGAGACCATGGATTTGGAGCTCAGCAACCGTTTCCTGGACTGGTTCGCTCACCACTTGAGTAACTTCGGATTTACATGGAAATGGAGCGAGTGGTAAGTCGAGAAATGTCAGCTTCCACGCGTTGTTATCAGTGATCTAACAATCTCACAGGACCGACGATCTTGATCTGCCCGCCATAGATCCGAGAATGGCGTTTATATATGGTGCTTTGGACAAGGAAATTCGGTTGAGCTTTGCGCAGCGCATTAAGGGAACTCTTCCTGATCCCTACCCCAAGTTGATCACACCAGGCAAAGAGAAGGATACTCCCGAGTTCAAATTTTCCTCTGAAAGTAACTTTTCTTCGAGCTCAAATAGCAGGGAATACTTGCTAACGTGAATTTCTAGTGGCACCGTACTCCAACGAAGGGCAAGAACTCATGCAGCTCATTCGGAAAAAGGCTAGCGACGAAGAAATTCAGCCAGTTATCACAGCCATCGAAGACCAGGCGAAGAGCCAGGGCGTCGACGACCCTAAGATACCCTCGACAGATGCATTCGTAACCTCCCTCTGCTTCGTCGGATCCAAATCGCTCTCTCATGTCCTGTCATGCATCGAACGGAGTAAAGATCGCCTTCTGGCCATCGGCACAGATTCTCAACACGCCCGCCGCCAAATCATTACCTCCGTCATGGACTACTGGGTCGACCAGCCCGGTATTGCCATCAACATCATCGACAAGCTGCTTAACTACACCATACTCAGCCCGCTCTCCGTCCTTGAATGGGCCCTCACTGAGTCTGTCGCGGCAGGGACCATCCTTTCAAAGCCCCATGTCTTCGAGATGATCTCCGCCACCGTCGGCAAGGTCACTAACCGCATGCGCCAGATCGTCGCGGCCCGCGCCCAGCCCGGCCTCTACGAGCCCCAGCTTAGCGTCATCGACGATACTCTCGTTCGTGAGCGCGCAGACATGCAAGCCCTCTTCAAGTACATCGAGGATTCAATCGTATCCGTCGCTGCTGGAAGCAACGACGAACAGATGGAGCGCGGTGATGGCAGCGGCACTCTGCCCGAGGACGCCATTATCCGCCAGTGGGGCCGTCGCTGGCTCCGCGTGTTCCGGAGAAAGGCTGCCGTCGAGGAATCCTTCATCTCGGATGCCCTGGTTAATGCTACTCCTCTCGGCACCCAGGCCCCGCCTATTTCTGAGCGGGAAGATGCTGCGGATGGAGATTTGGATATTGCCGATGCCGATGCGCAATAGAGCTGTCACATTTATCATGGATACCATCACGGTTAGGTATCAGCTTATGCATGCTGCGTTCTCGCACTTGATCTCTTTGCACTGTTTCATTAAATGACTTATGTCCCGGAGAGCTTTTTTTTTTCCATGCCTTTCCCCCCTTTTTTTCCCCTGTCTTTCTTCTGTACTGCACACTTTGACCCCGGGTCTTCGTATTCGGAGAAGGCCGACAGAAATTATGAAAATCTCTCTCCGATTATTCTAAGTAAACATCGATTCTTTTCGAGACGTAATTGATCTGCGCCTTGCCGACCTACATGATGAAGTTGTACAGAAAAAATAAGCTAGGAAAACTCCCCAGGACCCTGTTGATTCACTCGTGCAATCCTGGCACGAGGATATCCCAAGTCCAAGATACAAATGAAAAGTCATGAATCGTGTACATCTTGATAAACCCTAAAGAAAAAGAACAGGAAGAAAGGAGAAGTAGAAAACGTATGGGGAAAGGGATCCAACTGGAAGTCGGATTCCCTTCCCGCATACAGCGCATTTCTCGTGACGTCCGGGAGAAAAATGAAACAAATTGAACATGAAAAGGTAATTAGCAATGGGAATCAGCTAGCAAAAAGACCAGGGATATCAAAAAGGGGCGTGCAGAATACAAAGAAGCATAAAAAGTGGAAGAAGAAACCCATCCCCCCCCCCCAAGACCAAATCAATGCCTATGACCATGACCATGACCCTGGCCATGTCCCTGTCCATGAACATGAGACCTGCGGTCAATATAACAAGGCTCTCCGTCATCGCCATCGCTGCTAGAAGCATTATAAACGGAGAAACCATCCTCAAAGCTCTCGCGGCGCATCTGTGTCTGCATCTTCGAAACGCCCTCCTCGGACTCAACAGACTGTATTCGGTCCATAGAGTTGCAGCTACTCGGCACATCAGACCGTCTCGTCGCCGAGATCCGTCGGTCCTTTCCTCGGCCCTTGATGCCCTTGTTGCTGTTTTTATATAAACCGGCGAAATACATCCACAACTCGCGGTCTGCCGGGTTCATGTTCATCGCTCCATTCTCGCCCATCTGTGAGAAGCGGACGGTTAGATTGTGGAGTGTTGCTGCGTGGAATTTGTTCTGGTGGGACTGTTTTTTTTTGCGTAAGGGGTTGATTAGCTTGGGTTTGAAATGATGGTGTTGTATGGAAACGGAGATTTTGACATAGTAGAGGAATAGAAAGAGGACAAAGAGTTACCTTGAGGTTGCCTAACTGGGTAAACTGCTTGCCACATTCATCTAGACGACAGTCGAAGCGCTTAGATTGATCATGGGTGAGCTTGTGAGCGCGGACGTTGCCTCGCTGAGCGAATCGCTTATGGCAGATGTCACACTGGAAGGGCTTTTCACCGGTATGTCGCCGCTGATGGGTCTAGGTTTTTTAAAATGCATGTTAGTGTCTGCCTCGTGCGTAATCGCATGGTGCGGCAGCTGATGTGCATACCTTGAGGTTGCCTTGCTGCGAGAATCGTTGCCCGCATGAGGGCTCCTTGCATATCTGCCACATCCAAAAGGATAAGTTGCTGATCCTAATACCAAATTTGGTTCAAAGTTTTGTGTGTACTCACAAATGGCTTGTCACCTGTATGCGCCCTGATGTGGATGTCCAGATGTGTTTTTTGCGCGAAGCTTTTACCGCAGCCTTCCAGGCTGCAATTGTACTTGCGCTTCTTTCCTGAGCGCGATAGTTGGCTTTCGTTGGCATGGTAGCAGCGCAGTGGCGTGGGTGAGGCATTCGGGTAAGATGTGGAATAGGCGTGTGGTGCCGGTGCTGCCAGATGTTGGAGTGGTGGCAGCGATTGTTGGGTTGGTGACGAAGCATGCTTTGCCTGAATTGCCTTCATCAGGACATCCACATTGGTTGAGAAAGCGGTGTCAGCAGGAGGTTGCTTCGTCTCATTCGTTGCCCCGACTGGTGAACTGTGGCCTCCAGTCGAAAGTTGCGCCCGTGGACCATAGTCGGGAGAAGACTTTACTGTCTGGCTGATGGCGTTCTTCGCCGGACGAATCTCTGGAAGAGACTGCAGCGGTTGTTCCGTTGTGAGGTGCAGTGGTTGCGGCTGTATCGGGTGCTGACTAGGGACGAAGTAATGCTGATAGGGATTCGAATGTGCATGTGTGTGACCCACGGAGTGACCGAAGCTGTAAGGTAAGCTATTCGGGGCCTGATAATGCAACGAGTATGGTGCTGTTTGATGCGAACAGAAGGGAAAGTTTTGACTCAAGGTCGAGTCCATCGGGCGTCTTTGTGCAAACGCACCCACGGTATGGCCAGGGAACTCGTAAGCGACAGGCTCTGCGGTCTCCATCTTTGTCACTGTGTCGATGTCTTCCGACTATCTTTCAGAAAGGCAAGGATACCTTCTCCCTTCGGATCTCCCAGATCTCAATGTATACCTGTCCTCGGGATGAGGGGTTTTCTGTGTAGTCTTTGACTATGTTCTGAAACCCAACCCCCGGTGGTATTTGGGTTCTGGCTGAGTTGCTTTTCAAGAAGAAGCAAGGATAGGGAAAATAGACAAACCGACCAAAGCCCAATCACTCTATAGATCCGGATCTATCTATACGGGATGGAGTGGAAAGGAAATAGCAAATATATTCAGGTCATGCCGTGAAGAGAGAATATAATGATTGACAACTAGCGATGATCTTCCGCATCGACCATGGCGCCTCCCGATCTAGATATAGGGCCCCAATGCAATGGCGGGGGCGACAGGGGGAAGTCAGCCGGTGAGAAGATAGTTGAAAAGCCCCATTTTACCTGTATGACATTTGGAAAAACGAAAAAGAAATCCCAAAACAAAAAGGCGAAAAAAAAGGGGAAGAGTAGTTCGAGGCCAGAGATACATGCAATGTAAGTACTGTATATACCAGAGTGTTTTGATTCGATCTCCGGGGGATCCATGATTGAGGCGACCTGACTCCACCGAGAAAAATAATGTATACAAAAAAGAGAAGAAACCCCAAATTAAATCGGGGGGACGAACTGGAGTTCTTGGGGTTCCTAGAGCCCTGAAAGCCCCAGAGAGCCCTTGCAAGCCCTGAAGCACTGGAACATACAGGTGCATTGCATGGTCCATGAGATGCATGGTTTGCTTTGGACGCATCAAATTCCTGTACCACGAGGAATAGTAATTCTCATTAGTGGTAATGTATTTCGACTCATTTGGTGTGGAATGTGTCAGTCACACAGGATATACTCACAGCCGCGACTGGCGACGAAGGTCTCCATCTTTTCCCCTGTACTTCCATGCTTCCCCGTAATCTGTACACTTCTGTAAGTGGGATAATTGAATAGACTGACATCTGTCAGACTCAAGATCTCAAAAAAAAAAGAAAGGAAACCACGCAAACTCATCGTGCTGTGCATCTCTCCCCTCGAGGAGACGGGCCGGGCCTTCAAATCGCGGAATTCCCAAGTGGGCCGTGATCGACCTGCAGTCGACATGTAGATTATTCAGTCGATCTCGGAGTCAGCAATCGCTCAATGGCCAGCTGGGACGTAATTACGAGTACCGGGATGCACCATCCCGATAGTCGCCAATAGTGTCCGATCTCAGCCCATCGAATATCCCAGCTAGCCGCCCAAGGCCCTGGAAAATCCAGTCGGGTGATCTGAATCTCTTGAAGGGCCCCCACCCAGTGCGATCGATCTCTCTCTCTCTTTTTGGGGGGAGAAAGAATCGATTTCGTTCCAAAGGTGTCAGCATGGAGCTTTGGTCTGATCTCGGTGTCCTTTTCCCCCTTTAAACCGGAAATGGCTTGGCTGATGGGCCATGTCGATCGTAATCACTCGTGGGGGATCTGAGAAGTGACAGCCATGTCCATCTGACACGAGTGGCAACCCTGCACGTCCTGCATCGAAATGAGGTATCGGGACTTGTCATGGTTCCTGCAGGGATACGACTAGTCTTCATGAACTACTTGGATGGGCGAAGACACATAGACTCGCTGCATACGCGTTAAGCCTAAATCAGTGATGAGATTTGGATCAGCAGGGGATTTGGAGGGGTGTTTCCAAGTCCAAGCATTTGAATTGTCTTCGGAGGCTCTGTGGTGATTCAGACGGACAGGGATGGTGTTGTTGGGAAGTTCAGCTCGTTCCAGAATGTGTGCCCGTGTGACCCTTTTTTTTTACGTCCACCACACATACCAACAATGTTCCAGGTATATACGGAGTAGAGAATGGCAATTTTGGAATCGAAAAAGGAGTTCACGTATACACTAAAGTGTACAGAGGGAAAAATAAATAGAAATTCAACATAAAGCCCATATACCAAAGCAAAAACATCACATTGCGCCCAAAGGATCAACCCTTTCATCGTCCAGTGTACGCCGAGTATCTAGAAAAGTCAGCTTAAGATCTGAAGCGCAGTCAGGAGAAACACTCACCTCCAGATTCGTGCACGCATGTCTCCACTGCCGGTCGCGAACAGGTTGCCAGTAGGACTGGGTGCAACCGAGATGACTATTCGAAATTAGACAGTTAGAGATGACAACGCAAAGATTGAATGAAACCCACCAGAGTTCTTGTGGCCTTGAAGCATCATCTGGGCATTTCCAGTCACTGGGTCCCAGAACTGAACACCACGATCCTTGGAACCACTCATCACCCAGGCACCGTCGGGTGTTAGACACACACTGAGAACAAAGTCCTAGATTGGAGTCCAAAAGTTAGCTTCTGCCTGGCTCTCAAGTAATCTCAGATCTAACCTTGTGGCCCTCGAATGTGCGAATACACTTGCCGCCCTTAATGGCACTGTGAGGGTGCATGCCCCGGGGAACAGTAAGCTCCCAGAGTTTGATAGTCTTGTCCAGACTACCACTGACAAGGTCACGGCCATTGGGCGCGAATGCGACCGAGTAGACACTGTCCTTGTGACCATCTGGGTTTTCCAGACGCTCCACAAGGTATCCAGTTGTAGTATCCCAGACGCGCACGCTCTTGTCCAACGAACCTGCAGCCACGTAACGGCCATCTGGAGACATAGCCACAGTAGTGACACCATCTTCAATACTAAGGGTGTAGACAAGCTTGCCATCGAGAATATCCCAAAGGCGCACGGTCTTATCTCCACTGCCAGAGGCGATGAATCGACCATTGCCAGCAAAGTCCAAAGAGTAGATGTCCTGCTCGTGTCCACTAAAAATGTGCTTGATAGTGCGTTGGTTGATATCCCAAACCTAAAGCCAATCCAAAATCAGTCAGCGATCTTCCCACATCCTGCTGGTTCCATATAATCCGAAAACTTACGCGAATCTGCTTATCTTCAGCACCAGTCGCAAGATATTTGCCATCGGGGCTGAAGCAAACGCTGCGAATGTACAGGTCACCGTCCTTGTCGACATTCTCATCCTGAAGAGTGGCCACATTCTGACCAGTAGTCACGTCGAAGATTTGGGCTGAGCGGTTGCAGCCCGTAGCCAAGTACTTGCCATCACGGCTGAAGCGCACACAGCAGACAACGCTATCGTGGTTCAAATGATGCACCAGCTCCACATCGAGGACACGCTGGACCTCGGGGTTGAAGACGGCATACCAATCGGAACCCTCACGCTTCTGCGACGGAGGCAAATCATCGGGGTTCCAGTTTGCCAGCATGTTTCCCGGACGTTCGGCTGTGCGGCCGAGAGGGGGGTTCGGAGGAGTCGGGCGGGGAATCTGTGGGGATGCACGGGGATCCGAGTAGGCGATATGCGTTTGCTGAGGGGTACCAGGGCCTGGTGGAACACGGCCACGGCCCTTACCGGGGCCTGGGGATGCAGTGGGAGGTGGAGGTGGTCCATAGCCTGGGAAATGAACAATCCAACGGGTCAGCGGACTGGGCAAAATTTTTCATAAACACAACGACATACCGTTCACAGCAGCGCCAGCCGGATATCCTCCAAAGGAGCTCTGCTGGGGTTGCGGTGCGCCAGGCTGAGCGACCGAAGCAGGCTGTTGAAGGGGATGCTGGGGAGGCTGCTGATCCTGGGGAAGGGAAGGTGCAAGACCGGGGCCACTACCTGGTGGGTTGGTCATGATGCCGCCAAACAGATTGCTGGGGCCGTGGCCCAAGGCAGGTGGGGGAGCCTGGGAAGGAGCTGTATGAGCTGCAGCGGGTCCGCCGATGTGGGAAGGAATCGTTTGCACGCCACGCGACTCAAGTTCGTGTCTCAGCATCCGGATCTCGGCTTCGTAGCTAGTTCAAAAGAGAAAATGCGATGTCAGAGAGAGTGTGATTCAAGATTTCAGGGAGGTAAAGGGAACAAACTCTTGCTTGATCTTGATTTGCGCCTGTTCCAGTTGATAGACCTTCTGACGGATCATCTCCATCTCCTGGAGTTGACCGGTCACTGCATGATCTGTCAGTTAGATAACATTTCAGCGAATGTCGGAATCCATGGAGCTGTGATCATTGGGAAAGATGAGCTGGCAGCTGGTTGTATGAAAGGGTTGGACAGGGGAGGAGAGCTCAAGGCGCAAATGGCCTGAGCATAGGAGAGGGGCAAGAATGTGTTAGAAGAGACTGATAACATACACTGATGCTCAAATTCACCAGTGTTTCGCGACTGGCTCTCAAACTCCTGGCGCAGTTGATCCAGCAGCTCCGTCAGACGGGAGTTGGGAGCGGGAACCATCCCGCGATGAGCGTTGTACATGGTGGGATTTTTTTCTTCGCGTTTTTCAAAAGTCGAAGAGGGACAAAAGCGATGTTCAGATGACAGCTCTAGGTCAGCGAATGGGATCGCAACCAAGGTTTCGACCTGGACTCAATGATCTTGATCACTGAGGCTTCAATGCTTGGTGGATAGCACCACGCAGCTAGCCACAGCGATAATGGGCGATACAATATAAAATGGGAGATGAGAATGGGGGTGCAGCGGTAAGAGGGGTGGAAGAGGCTGGCAGATGACACTTTAAAGCGGGAAGGTTTGAGTTTGGGGGGAAAGCGGCAGTGGTTAACGCGAGAAGCGAGGTCATAGGCGAGAAGCGCAGCGGGTCTTACCATAGAGTACTAGTACTTTTGAACTTTGTACATAATAATCTGCACAACACTTAAAAGTAAATTTGTTCACGCAGATGACAGTTAAATGAACACTACTTACACTATATGTAGAATTGAAACCCAAGAGCTCTATGTACTAGGCTTAAATATATACAAAGTACATTATGTGTACAGTATACATGGATGGGTCCAGATCGTGAGGTTCACATGAAACGGGTATTATTTGGCTGAAGATACCCGGAATACCAAGGAATACTTGGATCTACACCCGCAAGTGCGGGCAGTGGAGGTACCTCTGAGTACGGGAAGCTGAAGTGGAACTGGCCCGTGCAGTACTAGATTGGTACTGTAATTACTGCAGTGTACTTTTGTCATTGCCTGATTTATCGGGCCACAACTAGCCACAGTCATGGAATTTCAGGCATCAAGGCATCAACTGTGGCCAACCAGGGGTTCTTTTTTTTAAAAAAAATGTTTTATATAGTACAACGTAAACACTACAACAAAAATGTACGGGGTATGTATGGAGTAAATGAAAGTGAATGGAAAAGTAAAGCATTTCCAAAACAATAAATTATAACACTTTTATATACTATAACAAATTCCACTCATAAGATAAATATATAATCCCGCATCAGACCATCCCTCCCTTCTTGAATCAATTGGCTTATTAAGAAAAGGTGGCATCGCAACGGCTGTGGCGGTTCCGCGCTGGTGTGACTACTCTGTTTTTCGCCGCAGATCTCCTTTTTTGTTCCTTCAAGTACTCACTCAATTCTTCCCTTTCTTCTTTCCCCAACTCTATCTGTGTCCTCAATCATGGATATCATTCTGGAATTATGGGACACCTTCATTGGTGATCGTCTCTATTCGACACTCCTCCCCGCCTCACTCTCTTCGTCCGTCTCCCTACCGGCCTTCGTCAATGCGGCCGCGAACACCTCAATGGCCCTTTTTGGTCCGGAACCTTATGTTTATGAACAGGCTACACAGATGATCTACCTTGAACCCTCAAAATATGCATACCTGAGTGCTTGGCCCAGGAACAACGTCTACCGTCAATTTACAAGCTTTTTCCTGATTACTTGGTAATGCGCCATTCCCTTGGATATTTCCATGTCGTCGCTTTTTTATTCCGCGTCAGCACAAGAACTAACACACTTAGGCTGTTTGGTCTGTTTGTCTACTTCGTGGTCGCAACGCTTTCATACATCTTTATCTGGGACAAGACAACCTACAACCACCCCAAATTCCTCAAGAACCAGATTAGTCTGGAAATTAGACAGGCCATGGCCGCAATGCCCCCAATGTCACTATTGACGGCTCCTTTCTTCGTTCTTGAGGTCCGCGGATACGCCAAACTCTACGACACCGCCGCCGAAGAGCCCTTTCCGTACTACAGCCTCATCCAAATCCCCTTCTTCATCTGCTTTACCGATTTCTTCATCTACTGGATCCACCGTGGCCTGCACCACCCCCGCGTCTACAAGACCCTACACAAGCCTCACCACAAATGGATCATGCCGAGCCCTTATGCCTCGCACGCCTTCCACCCGCTCGATGGCTGGTCCCAGAGTGTTCCGTACCATGTCTTCCCCTTCATCTTCCCCCTGCAAAAGGTTGCCTACGTCTTCCTGTTCGGTTTCATCAACCTCTGGACCGTCTTCATTCATGATGGCGAGTACGTTGCCAACAGTCCTATCGTGAACGGTGCTGCCTGCCACACGATGCACCACTTGTACTTCAATTACAACTACGGACAGTTTACCACTCTGTGGGACCGTCTGGGTGGCAGCTACCGCAAGCCCAACGAGGAGCTCTTCCGCAGAGAAACGAAGATGGGCGATGAGGAGTGGAAGCGCCAGGCCAAGGAGATGGAGTCGATTCTCAAAGATGTCGAGGGTGAAGACGATCGCAGCTACTCCTCCGACACGAAGAAAAATATTTGAGACTACGACTGCATCACAATCTTCATGACTTTATAATTATTGGTTCTAGACTACAGTGACCAATCGAGGCCCATCGCAAACTCCCCGATAGACGGGGCTGTCTGTCTCAGCTTTCTTAGCCTGGGTTTTGGGGTTGGATTTTTGCAATTCCCTGTCGTTTTTGGTGCCATTTTTAGACGCCAATTCAAGTACATTAATTCGCTTTGCGCATTTGTTATCTGTTTTAATACTCCCAAAACTGACCGCCAGCACTTTGGCCTGCTGGTGGTCTACCTATATTGTACATAGTGCTCTTTTCTTCTTCGTGCTTCTGTGGACAGTCCAAATGCACTTGGTTAGGTCTTTCTGTACATTTTTCTTCGATGTGTTGCAAGTTCATATGGTCATCTTAAAGCCGAAAATGGATGCATGTGTATGATAGCTTCGAATCTATAAAGCACGATGCCAATAGGGTTCAAAGTTACTCATAAGATTGTAACGAGTATTATGAATCATACTAACATCCATAGTGTGTTTCCATCAAGTACTCTAAACCCGACCAACCAGCCCTACCATAGAGAGAATGACCAGCTGAAACCTAACGGATCAAACCACCTGGTGTTCGCGAGGTAAAAATTATGATGGCTGCCACTAGTGAAAGGAGAACGATGGGCACCCTTGCGCTCGCTACCCGAGAGTCTGTATAATGACACCTCGCGATCCGTCAGTCGCATGAAACCCATTCTCAGCCAAATCCTGCTCCCGACTCGGCCAGACCTCCGCACTGAACTGCCCGGATTCAAAAGGAGCAAGTCGCCTGTGAAGAGCAACCACTCGATTGGCCTGATGAGAGTCCCCACACTCCAGCACCGTGAGCTTGGCCTTCAACTTGTATGCCAGAGTGAGAATGCGGCAGTAGAAGATATCCTCAGGCAAGCAGTCTTCCATCCCGGGGCCCAAGTGTGGAGGCACAAGTGCCAACTTGGGCTCAAAGCGCCGTACACTGCGCGCAGTAGTGCCGTTGCGGAACTCCGTTTGGGATATGTAGGGTGGATTGGAGATTAATAGATCACATCTACTCTCTTTGTCAGATGATGAGATGTCAAGTGCCCCAAGATCGGGGAAATGGGTTTGGAGTATTGATTCAATGGGCGGCACTGAATCGTCACTGCCATGTCCGAGAACATCGGCGCAATAGAAGCGGATGTCTGTGCCTGCGCTGGGTGCCAACTGGCCCAGTTGCATATTGTGCTCAAGGTTCTCCTGGGCCAGGCCTAAGGCTGTAGAACTGATGTCCACCCCTGTTATCTTCAACTCCTGGAAATGAGGAGCAAGTAGTGCGTGCAAAAGAAGTGGTATGCAGCCTGTGCCCGTGCAAAGGTCAATGACGCGCAAGGGTCTCGCCTGGTTGGAAGACTGGAACTTGTCATTACGGCCCAGGGCCATTTGACGGACTAAATTGGCCGCTTGGTACGTATATGACTCGGTTTCTGGCCTATGAAAGGTTGTCAGCAAGAAATCGCTCTTTCGGAAATTTGATAGGCCGACCTTGGGATCAAAACGCCTCTTCGGCAGAGAATTTCCAAGTCGCCGAATGGTTGATCTCCAAGGATATATTGGAGAGGATATCCTCTAGATCGCATCTGACACATATATCTCAATCGACTTCTCCATGCCTTTGATCGTGAAGAGGACTGGCCATCGCGAATTACCCGCTCGCGTAGCCAGCGAAGTTCATTGCGAGCAGAATCGATTGTGCGACACTCTTTGAGGAGTATAGGCAGAAGGTAGTTTTCTCTTTGGGCTTTGAAGATGACAGAAAAGGGGATTCGGGGCATTATGGGAAATTCGAAGGATGATCAGTCAAGGAGCGTTGGTGCCAAGAGATTCCACCCGATGATGCCAAGATCGATGTGCACGTTTGTAGATACACATTTCAAAATTGCTAGAAGGAATATCAAGATTAACGACCGTCCAAGAAAACAGCAATGGGTACCGAGTTAAAGATATCATCCAATTCAAAGTGTAGAAGTACCCAGACCATTTGCTTCACTCAAAAGGTAACGACAGAATAACTCCATCGGTACAGTCTTCTCTCGCTCGAAGCTCCACAGCTGTGAGAATGGTAATGTGAGTTACTCATTATAAAAGGCTTCAATGATTCGGCCGTACTTAACCCCAGCGTATCAAATGAGCAAAAGCTAATCATATCCAAGCATATCCTGAAATTTCTAAACCCCGGAGAAAGACTTGTGGGATGGATCTCGGCTTTGCACAATCGGCCAAGAAACACTCGAGGAAGCATTAAGTGCACAATAGCCCTCAGCTTACATATAGTCGGACTCTGATCTTCGGCACTTGCATACGTCTCCGAGATGACTGTGATTTTGCAATGTGGCTTCGTGCAGTTGCCATTTTCCCAAGGCCGGTAAGCGCGATGCATTTGCCAATGAGCATTCAGTGTGAGCACCTGTTATGGGAGGGGTTCACCTCTTTTCCACCCTTTCTCCCAGCTAGGAAAAGAGCAAGTTATGAGTCAAGATTTCCATATAATTCTAGCGCATTGTCATAATACCTGCAACGAGTGGACACCGCATAGTATGCTCTACCTAGACTTTGCGCTGACAAGTCGCTCTTTTTCACTCCTTCTAAAAGGTCGTCCAATGTGGGTGAATCATGATGCCGAGCTAGGTTTTTTTTGGTTTTTTTGGTGTTTTTGGTTTTAGATTTCCGATTAAATATTTGTGAAACCCCTTCTGTAGGCGTGGCTGGAAGAAGCAAGGGTTGAATTGCAGTTTTTCTCAAAGATATCCACCTAGGATGCTTTGACGCTGAGAAGTTTGAAGTCCTCGATAGTGAACAATATCAACCAACAGTGTATGAGCTTCAGGTAGAGAGAGTTGAGGACACGGCATTTATTCTGGGATTCGGCCATGGTAGGGATCAACCTAGAAAGAGGTTAATGATAGGATGAAAGGCTGATGAGAAGGGATGAGAGGACACAGTCAAACGTCAAGTGACCCATATAGGACTGAATTCGGTTTGATTAGATAATGATTTGAGGTGTTGAAGATCTACACTACGACGTCTTCGGTTCTTCTTTTCCTCAATCAAAAAGAAAGATGAAAAAGGTGGCACGAAGAAAAGGAGGGGAATAAACCCTGACAGTATAATCGCCAAGGATATTGAGATAGATCGTCCTTCACATGTACACTGCTATGTAGGAATTAAGTGTTGAATATTTCGGTGCTGTCCATTTCATAACACATAACTCCAAGAAAAAAGAGGATGACGAAAAAGAGTTCTAGATACAGCTTTCCCAGACTCCAAATCCACCATAGTATGCAAGACATATACAAAAGAAGAAAAAGGATGTGATCACGGGACTTAAAGAGCCAGAAGAGCTCCTACACCGGCAAGGCCAACAGCCAGGTGTTTCGGCATAGCCGTCGCCCTAGGAATGGCTATATTTCCAGTGACAGAGGCCGAGCCATGGAGGCCGGATCCTCCAGTCGGACCTCCGATGCGAGCCGCGGCGCCACCAACTGGCGCCGTAGTCACTGGGTTCGAGACTGCAGTCGCACCGGGGACGGAATCGGGACCAGTCCCGATCTCCAAGATATCATTCTCGGTGGTGTTGAAGTTGGTGCTGGCAAGAGATATCTCATTATTGGCGAGATCGTATACCACGTACGCACTGCGAAGGAACGTATCTCCCAGGACGGCCGTGCTGCTTCCCGCGGGAACAATGCCAAAAATGCAGGCCCGCTTGCCGTTTCGGAAAAAGAGATCACCAGCGTCGATGATCAACTCTTTGATGCTCACGTTAATCGTCGGGGATGAGAATGTGTAGCTGAGGGCGATGTCCTCGTCTGCCATGCTGCAATCAATATAGCCAATACCACTGTCCGGCTCGTAGGAGACCCCGAGATCATCGTAGATTTCTTGGACAAGGGCGTCCGGAAGGTATGTAAGAGAGCTCCCCGAGTCCAGCAGCACGCCCACGGGTATCAAGCTCGAAGAATAGGTATTTTCACTGGATGAATTGGTAAGGGACACTTGAGTGAGCGCAATGATAAACTCCGAATACTGTCCATCGACCTTCTGGATGGGGACTGTTTGCAGGGTGCCGTGGTATTTCTTGGTATTGACTCCACCGAACAAAATCGAGCCGGTGTTCGCATCCAGGTCATTCAGCCAGAGACTATAGGCATTTGATTGGATTATTCCTTTGTTGACCATCGCCTTGGGCAGGTTGGCATAAGCTGAGTCTCCATTTCTGCCAACCTGAACTTCATTCGCAGGATATCCTATACCCAGCACACCCTCTGCATACAACCATCCCATGTCAGCTCCGTAATAATTGGCATTGCATCAGACAGAAACCACTCACCTGAAGAGCCGGACGAAAACCCAAGGCCAAATTGGAAGTCTTTAATAGTCGTACCTCCGATCGTAAGGGTGTCGGCGACATAGTTTCCGGCGGCGCCGGACCCATCGGCATAGGTGATATTGAAGTCTGAGTTCACAAATGACCATGAAGAGGAAGAGCTCGGGTCGTAGGTACCGGAGTCGGCGCAGACGTTTTTGGGGGATGCACAGAGAGTAGAATTTGGCGTATTGGTCCACAAATCACTACTTCCAGTGTCGAGAACCAGACGCACGCTCTGCTCCGGGGTACCCAGAGTGACCTCACAGAAGTACAAAGTTTCCTAGGCAGAACCATTAGCATTCCGTAAGATTGCGTACCTAAATATAGATGTGTGTACCTCATTAACCAATGCCTGACTGACGGTCGAACGTTTCCTCGCTCGATCTCTAGCAACAGGATCGAGAACATCCTTTCGTTGAATATCCATTTGCACCACGGCGGGATTATCTCTTCGATGGAGGGTTATACCCCAGACTGGCATCACCAGACCGGTGACCAATAGGATCCATGTATTTTTCATAACGCCGATCGTTCCCCCCCCCCGAGTTCGGTCCGAAAGTGAGATGTCTAGTGTTGTTGTTGTTGTTGTTTTTTTTTTGCTGCTTAAGAGCCGATTTCCTAAGTTGTGAATTTTGGATTGGAGGGTAAGCAGTTAGAGAAAGAAGAAGTTGAAGAAATTGAGAGAAACAAAAGCAGGTAAAGAAAAAGAAATGGGGTTGATGTCTTTCCAAATTTCCAGTCCCAGTTCCTCCGTACTCGGCTCCAACCGGATTTACCTAAACATGTAAGCCGACCAGTTGCTGAATACTATTACTAGTGTTACTAGTGTTACTAGTGTGAGGACGGAGTAGTGTTAGTCTAAATGTACTCTCCGTCTGTGTTGTAGGTATAATTCTAGCACTCTGTTGCCTGGTCGAAAGTCTCCGCTGTCGTCACTCTGTATGCCTTGTATCACACTAATCTATCTATGTTATATCTTAAAAATGGTTGAATCAAAATTCCAAAAATCTTTAGAAAAAAAAAAAAAACCAGAATTATCAATGGGAAATCCTTGGGAAATCCTTAGCGTACGTACGCGACATACACAGTGGAGGTGATGACGCGGTTGACTCCACTTCAGCCCCCTTTGGACTTGAATTTACACACATCTGACTCTTACATACTCCGTAGTTCTTCCCTATACCATCATACATCATACTAATCACTCTAGTGAACAGCTCATATGAGCTCGCACTTGCCACTCACAGACCCATCGCATCCCGAATTTGCTGCATCGTCACCCGACTGTTGGCCCGCGCTGCTTCGGCACCCTCCTCAGCCACTGATTCCAGGTAACCAGTCTGATCCTCCATGATCGTATCATATCGATCCCGGATTTCTTGCAAATGATAAGCGATCCGGTCTGCAACATGTTCTTTGAGCGATCGAAGACTTGCGGTATGGAAGTCAGCCGCAATATCCTCGCACGATACACCTTCCAGGTGGCTCAGGATCTCAATGAGGTTTGACACCCCAGGTCGACGGGTCGGGTCGTAGGTGATGCTTGCTTCGGAGTCTGTCAGGGCTACCTTGACTTTCTTGCGGATTTCGGCTGGCGAGTCATTAAGGATGATCCGAGATTTCTCATCGGCGTGCGATTTGGACATCTTTGAAGTGGGTTCCTTTAGGGACATCACTCGCTTGGCAGGAGCTGGTCGGGTTAATATCTGGTCTGTCCCTTCTGGCAAGCGTTACCTTACATATTAGCGCCTCTGGAATAGGGAAGATCGGCCCGTAGAGGTGGTTGAAGCTGTTCGCGGTATATCTGGCAAACTCCAGGTGCTGTCTTTGATCTTCTCCAACCGGGACATGGGTGGCTCTTGGTGATCGTTAGCAAAAAAAGGCGCTCATGCAGACAAGGAACATACCTGTGCACAAGGATATCGGCAGCTTGCAGTACTGGATAGGAGAAAAGACCTAGTCGCAGTTGTGCCCGTGCCGTCGAGTCATCAAGCGTGGCGTCGTCTGGCAGCTGCAGCTTACTCTGGGCAGTGTCAATAGAATGCTCCTATAAAAATAATAACAGGGCCCATCACCTTCCATTGTGTCATACGCGACAGATACCCCATGGAGGCCACCGTGCTAAGAATCCACATCAACTCAGTATGTGCCGGTACCTGATTACTGTCAACATAAAGTCTCGATTGTGCAGAACAGGTGACAGCTCCAAGACAGAACGCACAGCGGACTGGTAGAATATTGTAGAGCGCTTAGGGTCCAAGCCCACAGCAAGCAACGTTGCAAAGGCCTCCTTCTTCCATCGCTTCAGTAGGGCTGGATCTTGCGGTACTGTCAATGCATGTAAATCAACAATAGAGAAAAGCAGCTTGGTTCCTTCGACTGCATCTTGCTGGAGCTTCACCCATTGATGTAAAGCTCCGAGATAATTGCCCAAGTGAGGTACACCAGTTGGCTGGATCCCAGAAAATATAATCGGCTCTTTTGCTGGCGTGGTGTATGAGCTGTTCCAACGATGGCACCTCCTTGGGAGAAGGGAAAACCCGCTTGGACGAACATGGAGGTGTTTCGCACGCAATGCCCCCAGCGAGGCAAATTCATGACACATCGCATTAGCAGACATCACCGACAAGTACTTAATCGGTGCAAGAAAGGAAACTTTTAAGTGCAATCACCTCGTACTGCCATAGTCCCCAACGACTCTGAAAAACGCGAAACGCGAAGTATGTCACGTGACCGAAATCGTACAACGGGTTGGCATAAAATTGTACTGGGCATCACTATCCGCACTCTATAATAGGCAGATTTCGCATACTCTGCATCACATTACATGGGAGTAGTGACAAGTCTCTACCGGGGACCTGGTTGTGGCAAGCAATCTCCTTTCAGTGTTTGTGAGCTTCATTTCATCGGGGCTTGAATGAGAATAGTTAAACAGTAAAATACATATGGCCTAGATCAAGAAGGCTTTAAAGATAATGAAAATAGCACCTATAGCAAGGACACCAAGTCCGGATTTTCACGGGTATACAACAGTAGATCACCATTCCATCTATAGGCGCTTGCGCTCTGTAAATCGCTCACTGTTCAAAGTATCGATCATCGTGCCCGGGGCCGAATTGTCCTTCCGCTGACCGAATTGCGCGAGCTCGGGGCGAAGAGCTTCCTCCACCTCGGCAATGGAAGCGTCCATGGCCTTACCAGCATCTAGTATAGAGTCGGTGGTTAGTCTCTAATCATTGAAGATGCCACCCAGGTGAAAAAGAAGAAAAGGTGTAACCATACCGAGACTGTCGTGTTCCCAGACATTTGCCTTCATACCGACTCCATAAAACGCGTGCTTCCGGAGAAATGCAAGCCATACCTGCACCGCTTGTGGGTTTCCATCCTTGATCTGAATCAGTCGACGGAGGGTGATTCGTTCGAAATTCTCCTGGCTCTTCTTGTGCACAAAGTTGCTTCGGGGAACGGTCCAGCTTTCAACAATGCGAGGGAGAGGCACAGGCCCGGACGCGGGAAGGTTGAGGTAGTAAGCGGCACGGATGGCAAAATCTGCGAAGAACTCCACGTTACGAACGCTGTATGATCGCAATTGAAGGTCGCAGACTGGGAGGCCATACTCCACCTTCCTCCGCAAAGGACGGAGGTATATGGCTTGCACGCTTCGTGGAAGTCGGCTGTCCTTACTAAATACTCCTAACCGTTCAGACCTAACCAAGATGTGAGCGGTGGTCTTTGATGTGTGTTGGCATTGAGCCGAAAGCCTTGGATACTAACCATTCTTTCACACTAGGCTTATTAGTTTGCTCAGTTTCCGTTGGTCTGAATTATCTCAATTAGCGACAACCCCAAATCATAATCGACTTGTGGAGTATCTTACGCTACTGGAGCGGTCGATGCAGGCGCCGTAGCGGCGAGCATAGCGGTAGTTGTAGAGGCCGCAGGGGCAGCTTCTTCAGGAGCAACTGGTGCAGGGGTCGGCGTTGGATCTTGAACGGGTGTCGTCTCTTGCTCCGGCGGAGTCGGCTGGGATGGGGATGATAAAGAGCGGAATGGCACAGGGGCCTTCTGAGGAGGTGTTAGCACTAAAGTTGTAAGCCGAAAGAATGAGAACATGCCCTGAGGTACCTGCTCACTCCGATCAAGGAGCGTGATGTGTATGAGAACATTGTTAATTGTGATTTTGAGGAAGACCCGTTGTTGTTAGCGGATGGGTTTTTTCGGAGAGCGAGTCCAGGGCGGTGAGTGGGGAATTTGGATATGAAAGCGAAACCACGATGAACGGTGATATCTCTGTTATAACATTATACAATGTATTATACCACATTATAAGAGACATATTTGTACGTTAATCCATATTCTAGAGATTCGTATTTGATCTAGTTAAGATTAAAACAAGTGTGTACAACCAATTCCCTTTGTTGTTTATATAGATCCAAATGCATGTACCTTCGTAGGTGATCAGCTCTCTTACTCCAGGCTTTGAAACGAAATTTTTTCTTCAACAAGTTATTAGACATTGTCCCCTCCCACCCCCCAAAGCTGTTTATTACAAAAGTTTTCTAGGGATCGGATCATTGCAACCCCCGCCAAACTAGCGATCTGGTCAATGGAACCATGTGACTCCGCACTTGGAAACATGGAATTTTTTTTCACTCCTACTTTTTTTCTACTTTATATAAATTCTACTTGAAGTGCAGACGACACTGACTTGTGAAAAGATGACAAAGATCGACCTGTCCTCGTTCGAGCGAGCCAACGAAGCAATCTCTTACCTCAGAACCAAGTTGCCAGAGACCCTGCAAAAGCCTCAAGTTGCAATTGTGTGTGGCTCAGGACTAGGAGGGCTTGCAGATACTATTCAACCCGAGACACGGATTGAATTTGACTACGCATCCATCCCCCATTTTCCTCGTTCAACAGGTTGGTCATCTTCCTCAGTCTCAGGGAGGAAATTCTAATGTTCCTCAGTCGTTGGTCATGCTGGAAAGCTGGTTTTTGGGCTTCTCGGCCAGAAAATCCCGGCAGTGTTGATGGTTGGCCGTGCTCAGTCAGCTTAAGCCCTCATTCTGCCTGTAACATCATAGCTAACCCTGTCCTAGTTACTACGAGGGGCACTCGATCGACCAGGTGACATTCCCAATTCGAGTGTTCAAGCAACTGCAAGTGAATACTGTTGTCTGTACGTTCTATGTGAACCTTTATCACACGAAGATTGACAATACAGAACGAGGATTGATGATGTTTGGTAGTGACCAATGCGGCCGGAGGGTTGAATTCTCTGTATGATGTGGGAGACATCGTTCTATTGAATGACGTAGGAAATATTCCTATCAAAGCCATCGAGCCGATTTATTCTTCTAACACCGATCTACAGCATCTCTTCCTCGCAGGTTTGGCAGGAACTCACCCATTGAGAGGAGCCAATGAAGATGAATTTGGAGTGCGATTCCCACCCCTGTCTGATGCCTATGACCTTGAGCTTCGTCGCCATGTGCATCAGTCCTGGAAGAAAGTCACATCACCAGAAAGCAAGAGACAGCTGCACGAGGGTGTATATGCATTTTGCGGAGGCCCCACGTAAGTCACTTCAATCAATCCACTTGGAATCCGATTCTGATGGCATCAAGCTACGAGACTAGAGCCGAAAGCCGGATGCTTCGAATGCTTGGCGCCGATGTGGTTGGAATGTCCACAGTACCGGAAATTGTCACCGCCAGACATTGCGGCTTGCGAGTGCTTGCATTCAGTTTGGTCACTAACAAGGCCGTGTTGTCTCCTGTGCCTCGCGGAGATGACGATTTACTTCAGAATAAAGCAGCAGGTGAACTCAGCGCTCTCCTAGAAGAGGGCATGGCAGGGCACGAAGAGGTTCTTGAAGCTGGCCGCGCGGCAGCCATTGACATGCAGGTAAGATCATTGCATCAATCCTGGAACGACAATGAAATTGACATCGATCCAGAAACTGGTTGTCGAAACCCTTATGGATGTCTTTGGTAGCGTTTAAGACTGAGCTTGATACTCAATGCATAATGATCATCTCGGATCGTGACGATCAGTATCTAGCTTATCAGGATCCTAGTGAAGACCATTTTGTTGAAATGCCAGCGGTGGCCAACATGGTGTTTGCCATTCCTGGCATAGTTTGACGGAAGGAGAACCCGGAATTTCACTTATTCTTCCGGATTCTCTTAGCCTGCAGGTCCTTGTAGAAAGACTTCTTTCCGCTTGATTTTTTGGCTTGAATGTCCCTGTATTTGGCCTGGAAGCGCTTGGTACCACGCTCGAGTGCCAATGTTTCCTCGACAAAGTTCTTCTTGCGGTCCTTCTTGGTTATACGATTGCTAAAGAACTCGGCAGGGCCCTCAATGATTGTTCCAACCTGAGAATATTCTGGTGGTTTGGCCTTGCCATTCTCTTTCTTGTAGTGACGCTTGGGATCAAGCACAGAGCGCATCCTGATGAGCTGCAGATCCCTCTTGAGCTCTGGGGTCATTTCTGTCTTGGGGAGGTTGAACCACTCAGGCCCAGCAGTGGGCTTATCCTATCAAACGCGAGGACTGTTAGCAACTGCCCACAAATATCGCACACCGAGAAAAGATGGTAATTGTCATGAATGCTCAGAGTAACTATGAATAAAAGGCTCTCACAGGTGCAGCACAGCCCAAGACGGACTGGTTACGCCGCATCAAGCGCTTCGCGTTGGGAATGTTTTCCTCATAGCAAGAAAAGTAAAGGAAATGTAGCAAGGAAAGGATTGGGTGACTCACAGTATTCACTTTCTTGATCTCAATCACGCGAAGAGAGTTGGCCAACCCCTTCTGCTGTTGATCGGTGATCTTTGTAGCATCAACAGTAGCAATGTCATCTCCCTGGCGAATATAGGATTCCAACGAGGACCCAGGTGACAATTTCGGGATCCTAGGGGAAGGTTAGCTTAAATCTTAGCTTAAGAAAAAAAATTTAAAAGGTCACCATGCCTAAGAGATGCTAGATCATCAGTCTGGCTGCATAGCATATTGGGGGCCTTCAGTCGAGTCTCTGCCTCGAGAAGCAACTGCTGAATCTGATCATCAGTCAGGTCTTCCTGGGCATGATTCACACATGTTGAGTCAGCCATCCCTAGTGAATAGGGAGGGTAGCAAAACGGGAGAACAAAAGGTTCAAGGTGAGTCGAGAGAATTTATAATTTTTCTTTGCTGAGCTTGCTCCTCCCCGGGGCCGGAAAAATGTTTATGAGAAATTTCTGATTAGTGCGAGAGTGAAGTGGGGTCATGTGACTAGAGATACTTGAGGTAAAGTCCTCGGTACACATAACTTGGTTGGTATGTGAGCAAGCAACAAGTACTAAGTACCTGCTTTCTAAGTACTTTCTGGAATGATACAGCTGATGTATTAAAAGTCGTAGGCCCTTGAGGGTTCACCCATTAGAGGTATTGAAGGCCATCTCTACGAGTGCACATTACTTTCATTGAAACAGAGTAATACAATGCTTTACAACCCTTCTACTCTTTTTATATAAGACCCGATTTTATGCACTAGAAAATCATCTCACCACGTTAGATATGAACCCCCTAAATCACATCCATAGTTAGTTACATTGAATGGGTATTATATAACTACATCGAGCTCGGAGGGGCCGGGGAACGTCAGAAAGCTGAACACCTCTAGCTTGGCACCCAACGCGCCCGGGAAACACGACAAGCTTCACATAGTCTTTGACTGTGATACTCATCCGAATATCTTCTGTATATCGAGTCCATTGATTCTTTGTTCTTATATCCTCCACTCCGCTTCAAACGCGTCTCACACCCGGTCGCGTCGCATCCTCTCGGTCGCAACAGTGCACCTGCCTGACACACCCCAGACGCCCATATAGCTCGACCCAAAGCAAGCATGGAACAATCCCCTCAAGGCTCTTCGCAGCAGAGCAGACAACAGCCGCAGCCGTTTTATGATGTTAAAAATGGGGGTCATTATGGTAAGTTGGAAGTTCATCATTGCGCCAAAATTACGCACCGGGGTCCGATAAAGGGTTCCTCTGCTGGCTTAGTTGCTACCTTTTGGCTACCCAATGGAGACTGACAACAGCTATGATCTATAGGTGCTAGCGCAGCGGTATGTCCATCGCGGTGAGCCGCGCAGGCCTTACCTCCGCTCTATGATGATCGCGCGTAATGTCTTGAGTAGGAACTGATCAATTGGGTGAAAATATAGCTTTCGGCGCAAGGTTATGCACCAGTTGCCGAGTTGTACACTGGAACCTGGGCCAACGTAAGCTCTTGAGATAAACAGACACATATCGAGCTTTCATACTTACCAGAACCAGGTAAACCAGGGCCTTCAAGGAACCGCGCGAGACATCCTGACGACCTACTGGCAGCATGTCATTAACCATCTGGAATCAGACAACCACGATTACAAGATCCACCAGTTGCCATTGGCCCGAATCAAAAAGGTGATGAAGGCGGACCCAGAGGTCAAGATGATATCCGCAGAGGCACCCATCTTGTTTGCCAAGGGCTGTGATATTTTCATTACTGAGCTGACTATGCGTGCCTGGATTCATGCCGAGGACAACAAGCGTCGTACCCTCCAGCGATCCGATATTGCCGCGGCTCTATCCAAATCCGACATGTTTGACTTCCTCATTGATATAGTTCCCCGCGAGGAGGCAACTTCTCATGCTAAGCGGTCGAGTCAGGCTGTCGGCACCGCTCCAGGACCTTCTGCTGCTCCTGGTCAACTGCCCCCTGCCTCGCATGGAGTCCAACCACACCAGCACATGGGTCCTGCCGACTACGCCTCCCTTGGCCAGCACGGTATGCCTCAAGACCAGGAGTACCGCCCGCAACCTGCTATGTACCCCGGAGCCGTTCAATCAGACCCAACTGCGGCCTATGGTCAGCCTCAATCCCAAATGTTCGAGGGGATGTATGCCTACCCACACCTCCCTCCCCAGCAGGTACGTGTTTGCCATATGCCTCATCATTAACCGACAAACTAATTTTGATCGGCAAGTGAATGTAATGTGTCACCGGCACATGGTCTAGTCAATCATTTCATTTAGTTCATGCGCGTTTCAAGGCGAATTTTGGTCTGTTTTTCTTTCGTTTCTTGCCGTTCTTATTTGATTTCTTTGATCCTTTTAGTTTCCTACACAAGGGAAGCACACTGCCCTAGAAGTGGTGATTAAGCAACTCCTGGTCTTTTTGATCTTTCGGGGTTCTTTCATGCGTGGAATGAGTGCAGGTTTTGATTCTGGTTGGAAAAGAGGAAACCACATGTGGCATCCTGAAGGATGCGTGTAGTTCACTTTGTTTATAGTGGTATCCATGTATGTTCCTATAAATCATACAGGTCTAGGAGGAAGCCGAGGTTACAATCTGAGAGACAAAGAGACATTCTTAGACGATCCGAATATGTTTTACATGGCCTTTTTACCAGTTCTGGATATGGCAGGTATGCTACTAGCGGGATTTCTGCACTGGAGCTTCCAATATGTCCCAAGGGGTAACTTCATTGTTGTAGTTGAACATAGAATTACAATTTACCCAGTCTTCTTGAAACGTGATGAGAGAGTTGCAAACTTATCCACCTTAGAGGGAGCTTGAACGCTGCGTGTAAGCCTATTCGCAACTGGTTAGCAGGTAGCTCACGGCAATGGGACAAAGATTTCGAACTGTACTTTTCCAGCAAAATGGGCCCTTGCATGGCATCAACGCGTCCATATTTCTTGTTCCTCGTGGAAATGTCGTAAAACTCGTCCGCGCTGTCCGCTTGCATCAACTGCACGGTTTGCTGCAACTCGTCGAGGTTCTCGCGAAGAATTGGGACATTCAAGCTGTCCACAAATTCGGCGAGGTATTCAACATCTTTTGCTAGTGCTGCCACTCCGTTGGGATTGATTTTCTTTACATCTGAGGACAATGGTTGCGCCTGTATAGTCAGTCAGCAAGCCTCTGTTTAAACAGATTGGGATTTATAGGAAACTTGCCAGAATCATGTTAGCAGCATGACTAAGGGCATCAAAGTAGATGAGCTCTTTGATTTCCGTCGGCAGACCCAGCAATGTGGAGTTCATGATGTTGGATAAGAATCGAGTCAAGGTTTGCATGTAATTGCTCGGCTCTGTGGGAGGTGTAGGGGACATCCACTCATACTCTGCTGTCTCGATAAGGTCATCGATTTTTGAATTGACTACCTCAAAGATACGCTTCTCCGCTGCCTTTTTGTTGCTTTTGAACTTTTCAGTAGCCTTCAGCGCGATTGAGGTGCCGGTAGAGTTCTGGGATCGGGCTGCTGCCAATAGGAGTTCCAGCTCGTGGCAAGCCAACTCGAAGTGTTCTAAATTGATAAGAATCTGAACGATTTGGCCTAGGTACTGCGAGGAAAGACGCTCCACTAAAATGTCGCAGACCTTTTGTGAAAGGAGGTCATCCAGATCCTGCTAGGTTAGTTGTCAAGTCATGGGTCTTGAGAGTGTCGGTTCAAACTCACATTCTTCAGTGTCTCATCAATCAAATTCGTTTTTGCAAAGCCATCATTCGCGAAGAAGTAGAACTGGTTCAGAAAATTCCGGATATCAATGCAACACAGCGGATACATTCGGGAAAATGGCAATATGCATGGGAACCTAAGTCAATGACTAGTTAGTCCTGAATATAGACCAATTGACCTAGGCAGCAATTTTAACTTACACTTGTTCATCGCGAGGTTGTTCGGGGCTGTACCAGCTAACGTTGAGGACCTTGTCATGCTCCTCTTGTGTCTGTATGGGCATGGGCATATAATCATCCGTTGATACAATCTGGCAATGTCAGCATAGAAAGTAGATTTGTAGGGATTAACCAGCCTTTACCTCCTGAAAATCATCACTGAATCTCTTCTTCAAAAGTTCGGCATATTTGCCAAAGAGTATCAACAAGAAATCATCAAAGACCCGCACAGGGAAGTTCCACGTCTGTCATAGGGAAATAAGCTTTTCGGGGCCAAGATTATAGAGATGGGCCTACACACATTCATCGTCTGCATGAATAGAGCAATCAAATTCTTGATGTTGAGAATGTTTTCAGCGTTGTCGACTTCATGAAGTGCTTTCGATATCAACACAACAGCCGCTTGGCACATAGAATCCCAGAGTTCGTCAATCTATTTAAAGGCATTGGTAAGATAATTATAGAGTGCTCTTCGTTGGAAAAAGGACAGAGGAGAGGGAATGTGGTTTCTTACATCGACGGATGACCTAAGATCGGGAGCTCTTTTCATTGTGGCCCGTTCAACAATGGCAAATCCGGCCATCTCCTCCAAGAGATTGTGCAGACTAGAACCATCTTCATCAACAAGAGTGATAGAAGACGGAAGCAAGAGCTCCTTTTGTCTTCGGCGGGTGGTCGCGTATTCAATCCGGAATTTATCCATATGTCCCAACGATTGATGGATATGCAAGCACTCGAACAGCGGTGTGAAATCAACCTGAAGATCCTCATTCTGGAGCAGGTCATATTCTTCGTCTTCATCAGACACCAATTCAATCGCGGAGTTTAAATTGAAATGCTCTAGGTAAGGAATTTTTTCCGCTCTTTGCTTTTGTCTGGTTTTCCGCTGGTCTGTGTGGAAAAGCGCAATTTCCCCGAGGTATTGAGACATTTCTCGGATGCGGTAAAGCCAGGTGTTGAGATCAGACATCACTGCTTCCGCGATAGCTCTTTGTGTCGCTGGAACTGAGCGTTGTATCATGACCGCAATCTTATATTGCGTTACTCCCTTCAAATGGACATTTTGTAATTCCTCCAATGCCCGCAACGCGGCGTAGTGGTTCTTCTTTGCCAAGAGGTCATGGACTTGGTTAGCTAGACGCAGCACCTCCAGGCAATCCTGAATGGCGCGACTGGTCTCATCGATGTTCTGTCGATGACCACGCGACTCCACCAGTGCTTTCTTCTGCTCGGCTAGGCGTTCGGTACTAGTTTGGATAGATTGATTCAGGTCCAGGATCTCTGCAGTCAAGCTCACTGTCCCCTCTCGAATCCGAAGCAGTGAATTGACAGATGAGACAAACTCCTGGTGATTTGTGTTGCATATGCTTTCGATCTCGGACTCCTTGTCACCCGCGAACCG